TCAAGCGTCAACTCGTTATAAATGTTTACTATTAGTCTGAATCACGCAGAAATTAATTTATAAAAAATATGTTACCTAATAAAATCGTTACAGACGTCCACTCGCAACAAATGTTCAACACAAACTCAATCACACAGCAATCATTAAATATAAACAATCTGCTTTCTTGGGAATGTTCATATTAGTATCAAATATCAATACTATCTCAACTTTTACGACTGTTCTATTCATGAAACATAAACATCACTTATATCGACTTGTTGGAATATGACTGTTTTGTTTTTTAGATAAATATAAACATAAAATTATTGATTGGCTAAAGAAAATAATTTGTTTAGCATTTTTAATAATAATCTAATAACACCTTCGTTACCAAGAGTTTGGTGAATTTTTTATTTATAAAAATATGAATAATATTAAAAAAATATATACACTACTTATATACAGTATCACTATTACCAGTACATTTTATCACATATGAAGTAATGGCATAACACATATTTTTATTGAATTCAGATCATTCTCTGAAGATTGATGTATATTGTATATTTGAAAAACTTTATTACCAGTTAATAAAACAGTATTTTCAGGAGGTTTAGTAGTCAGTAGAACTTCTTTATATTCCAAGCGTTTAATATTTATTCTCCTAGGTCTTTGTATGTTTTTTTAAATATTTTTATTTTCACCGGTAAAGTTGGTTTTACACACATGCTGTACGTCATTTCATTAAAACGACGACATAATTGAGCTAACGGATTATTACCGTTTCTCAACAACTTTTTGATTTATTAATTATAAAAACTTTTACAACGTTGCTATTTAGATCATCGTAAGGAAAGTTGAAGGCATTCCTTAACTAGGGCAAATGTATGGAGTTCCTTATTCTGGCCTAATACGAATAAAATTTTTAGAATGGGGAATTCCAAAAATTTCCCTTAATAAGGGGTACCTTTAATTTACCGTATGATAATCTAATCCGAAATTATTCAGTCATACCCGGTTTCGACTGTTCTTATAAGGATCTCATCAGGCGATAATATGGCATTCCTAATTCTGGAAAACATTATTAAAACCTAATCTGGTCCTTAATCACTTTAGGGTAAGCCTGACTACCATTGCTTCTCATTTAGTTTGCGAAAAATCTATTACCATTCTCCATTTTTTCTTTCCACTTGCGTCCATTTTCTTTGAAACGATCAATACAGGGGAAGAGTATGGGGATATTGAGGGTTTAATTATTTTATCATTCAAAAGCTTAGTGATCTGATTTTGAATTTCTTGCTTCAAATGAAAAGGATAACGGAGGTTTTTTGTATAAACCGGATTTTCGTCTATCCTTCTGATGTTATGGGTAGTGGCATTAGTGGATGTTAAAGGTATTTTTTCATTATAAAAACAATGCTTAAATGCTTTACAAAGATTTGTTATTTTTTCACGTTCCTCTATATTCATATGATTAGTCCTAATTAAAGATTCTATTTTTATATCGTAATTTTTGTTGTCAATGTCAGGTTGTAAAATGGAGTAATTACTATTAAGTTCAATGGGTTCAATTACGTTGCTAATGTGAGCTGTAGATTCTAATGGTAAAGTAATTTGATTATTACGAACTGTATAGATACCTTAGAAAATACTACAAATGGCGCAGTAAACGCCATCTGTAGCACGATGCTACATTTTAGGATTACGTATGCTCCAACAAGGTCCACTTGTGGATATCTATTTGCTGAAACCATAATCGAATAAAATAAAATAATTCAAAGTGGTCTGTATTCTGTCGAAACTGCCAGACGCGGATCGCGATTTCGATCTTTTTGGATCTCATCAGCGCGTCGCAGGCAGCCCGACAGAACACAGACCAACTTTTACCTGCTGTCTTAACAGTGCGTTTTAGAAAATAC